GGGGGCGTGTGGAAATCATACCTAAGACGAAAATCAGTGTGTTGGAACAAGACAATAAAAAGGCGTTCTGTCGGTGTTTTCCTTGAACAGAGTTTGCTGACAGAACGCCTTTTTTCCAAAGCCTTGGGGGGAAAGGACTTTCAGTCAGCGAACTCTTTAATTTAAAAAGACGTTTGTCAGCGTAATTATTTAAAAAGCAGTTCTTCAGAATTTTGAATGTTAATTTATTTAAAAACTAGTCACTCTTTCACTTTGATTTTTTCACACAAGTAGGGTAACTGGTCAGACAATCGAAATGGCAAATATAAAATTTTCGCGCCAAAATGAAAAAAAAGGCGTTTTGTCAGCTTACGGCAGAAGGCGCTCTATCTATCTGGCCTTCGATTTATTGTTCTCTCTTGTCAGACTGATGAGCGCTGAGCCAGGCCCAGCCGTCCAACCCAAACAAAAATGGCGGACAGCCGATTCAATTTGTCCTGCAGCCCTCGATCGCTCAGCACAAAGGGAGAGAGGGCTGGCTTGCGGTCACGCGGTATCTAGTGAATAGAGAGTAGTCGTTTATATAGATCTATGCCCCGACCCGATCCCCCCAAAGGGCACCCCGTATAAACTCTTCTCAATGACGGCATTTTATTGGGATTTGTTTATTAACGGCTTCTTCCTCACTTTTCAGCTTGCTTGCGCCTATTTGTGAGTAAAACTGTGTGAATTAAGAAATGAACCGGGGCGGTTCGTTCATAGACAACGGTCGTGCAGTGCCGTCCAAAATGTTTTAATGTTCTATTATAAAAACGCCCACAATAATAAAATAAAAGAAGCCAGAAACAAACAGTAGCCAAATATTATATAAAAACAAGGTCCTCACTGGCACCATAACTGTCATTTCTGTGTCTATAGCGCCGTAAAACATCTAGAATCTACTATGTCATGCCAAAGTCCACGCGCTTTAGCTAAACATAATAGGATATTCAACTGTGTAACCTGACCTATAAATCGCTCTTGGGGATAATCCAAGCAATGACGACAATCGTAGCGAGTTTGGAGGTACATTAATATTAATAAGACGGCACATCTCAAATGTGCTCCTGCCGAAT